TTATAATAAATGTCCTTTTTTTCCTGGATATACTTTCTTTATATTTCTTTTATTATAAACTTTGCCAACATATTCCCAAATATCTGTCTTACATTTTGGCCATACCTTTTGTTCTATTTTTGATATTAAAAAACATAACAAATCTCTATCTTTTGGTGATAAATCAAAATATGATGATTGTCCAAAACATGAGCGATAAAGAAAATTATATATTGATCTATGAAAATAACATATAATTATCAATAAACATNTATATTTTATATATATATTAATTTGTACTATAAAAGTTTATATTATACAGTATTAATTTATATTATATATATACATATATATAAGTATATACCTGATATCATAACCTTCTAATTCAGAAGGTGATGGATGATTTTCAAATAATTGTATAAATAATAATGCTTCTGGTATGAGACTGTCCTCAGGTTGATACAATCCACATTTCAGCCATTTATTTAATAATTCATCTTCATACAGATTTTTTGCTATTTCAGAATATTTAGAAATTGTCGATTTAATATCTTCTAAAGATATATTTGGTAACATTTTTGATATAGCGTCAATATTTTCAGATCCATATTTTTGTAATGCTTCTAATAATATTTTTTTATCTTTAATATTCCACTTTGTATTTGATCTTAATTCATTATTGCTACTTTCTGGTTCACTATTATCATTGGTATTCTTTTCGATTTTTTGTATAATTTTTTTTTTCTTAATAACATCCATTTTTATCTCTAATAACAAAATAAAATTGTTTCATTTTTTTTTATTTTTGTTTGAAACAAATTTAAAAATATTATATACACTATTAATGCATTATGTTGACATATAATAAACATTTGATCGTATAATAAAAGCAGCATTTAACGCATGCTTATATACACATATACTAATGCTATTTATAAATAAGTTATTAGTAATTTCAATCTAGATAATGAAAAAAACATAAACAATAAAGAAAATTCGTTACTATGTACATACTTATCTATTTTAAAAATTATAAAAAATAATTATTACGGACTCTTTAAGTCTCATGAATATATTAACACAGTATATTTACATATTACTTTTATATAGCAGTCACGTATATAATAAATCATTATTTATTTAAAACTTATATTAAAATAATTATTCCTTTGAAAATTTTTAAAAAATAAATAAAAATCATAATTTTTAATATTTATAAACTTTTAAGTATTTTTGTATATATATTTAAAATATAAAAGAATGGTTGAAGGAATAAACTAAAGTATATGATATAAATTATTAAATAATTAAATAATATGATTAATAATTATTCTTTTAAAAATTCTTAGGAATAAAATATACTTTCTAATATTGTAAATTTTTAAGCATTTTTGCATTTATTTTTTGTATATTCAAAAATATAATGCAAATATCGAAGCATTAAACTAATAATGTACATAATAAATGTAATGAAACTTATATACATATATGTATATATTT